TCTGCGCGCAGTGTGCGAGAGTCCGGGAGCCTGGCCTTTCGCCGCTCTCCCCGGACTCCACCTCACAGCCCCGTCTCCCTCTGTCTGAGTCTGGGTCCCCAGGGATTGGCCCAGAACTGGGGTTCGGAGCAGTCTGGACTGAGGCCCAGCACAGCCGGAGGCCTTGTTTCTTCCAGCTAGGGTAACCCAGCATCAGAGTCAACATTCAGTCCTCTGCGCGCGCATTGCGCTCGACTCCGGGGGCCCTGCTTTCACCGCTTTTCCGCCTCACAGCCCCGTCTCCTCCTGCCGGATCCTGGGTCCCCAGGGTCTGGCCCATAACTGGGGCTCAGCGCTGCCAGTTCGGGGGGCTCAGCGCTGCCGGTTCGGGGGTTCAGCCCAGGCTGGGGGTTTTATTTCCTTTCTGCTAGGGAAGGAAAGGCAGCACCCCGCCCTTTCCTCCTCTCTGGCTGCAACCTCTCCGCGCGCGCCTGTGGGCTGGCACACAGCATGTCTCTTTACCTTAGGCTTTTTTTTCCAGCTCCTCTGATTTTCCTTCTGATTTTCTCTTTCCTTCTTGTTGTAGAATTTTCAGCTCTGGGCAATGTCCACTCTACATCTTAGTTGTATTCCATTGAAATTGTTGTGTGCTGCCGCTGCTAGATGTCTACCCGAGCAGCCATCTTGGATCCCACTCCATGTCTGTTCCCGGCCCGAGTCCCCCTGTGGCTCCACCATAGTAAGGCGTTTTAGGTGATTTCATGTCATGTTGAGGAGGCAAGGCATTAAGAATATTGAAGGGACAATTCTAGAGTCTATATATTTCTGTATCCCTCTCTGCCCTATTTATTCCTCCAGACCTGGATCAGTTCCCCCAATGCTATCTTTTCTTTTCACCCCACTTCTTACAGCCAGGCCTCCTACTCTTAACTCTTTAGACAAAATGCCCAAGAAAATGGTGGTTTCCTCTGATGTAGGAGGATCAAGTGCTTAACTCTTGGTATATTGCAGAGACCAGCCCTTCCATCTGTAGAGCCTTTATCAACATCTAACTGAGAAGAGAGAGAAAGACAGGGAAATAAAATCAGCATTTTCTTTATTGAGAAAGGTGGGACTATGAATTCTAAGTCAGAGATAAGGAAGAAGAGGGGCTAGGTAAGGAATACTCAAGAACAATGATGAAATTTGACAATATGTAGCAAAATCTTTAAAATTACTATATTTGATTCAGGGAATTAAACAATGGGAAGATGAAAAAGATCTAAATAAGTGATATGCCATTTACATAGATTATCAGAAATCTCAGTATAGTAAAGGTATGAAATTATGCCCATTTCACAGATGAATAAACTGAGGCATAGAGAGATTCAATAATTTGTCCAAGGCCATAAAGCTAGTGGGAGGTGAAACCATGATTCAAAACTAAGAGTTTGGACCCAGAAGCCATTTTCTGCTCTCTCTCCCTCTCCCTCTCTCTCTATCTCTCTCTCTCTCTCTCTTTTGTCCCCTGAGCTCCCACAGTCTTTGAGCCACTGTCCGTGTAGCACTTTCTCTTTTGTGTGTGTCTGTTTATTCCACTAGAAGAGCATGAACCACATCTTATTTACCTCGGCATCTCCAGGTGTCTGGTACACAGGAAATACTCAAAATATGTTTATTAAACCCAAAATCTATTTTTGAAACAATAGAATGATTTATTGGTAAGCAGCCTAATCATTACAATTTATATTTCTGCCATCACAGAATTCTGTAAATTAGACACAGATGTAGCCCAAAATACACATATTTAATAATGACTCTTAAGAAAAATAATTTTCTAAGCTTTGGGTTGTTAAATAATTTAAACAGCAGGCCCAGAATTTATTTTTTAATATGATTTTCTAAATGGAAAATTCATAGACATTTCTGACCATGATATTATTCGAGAGCAAAAATCAAGTAAATTCTTATATATATTTTTTATACTGGGAGGAGCCATAAGTATTAAATACTGATACTACCATCAAAATTATAAAATTATAAAGAGGAAAACAATAAAGCTTTTTTTAAAAAAAGGAGGAAACTTAGAAAGAATTTTTATGCCCTTTATATTTACAATAAAAATACTAAATCTGGTGGAAATTTATGGGACCTATGAAGTGGTTAAACAACCACCAAAAATTAGCTCAAGAAACTAGAGGTGTAAAAAACTGGAAACTAAGGCAAAACTATGGACATTTAAATTCATCTCTGGTTCATGTAGTGACTTGCTGCGTTTCTATCTAATAAAAGGGTAATATGCAAATTAACTGTCACTCCATCACAAAAATGACAGTGCCCATAGCCAAAAGATGGCAGCACCCAGTCCTCTCAGCCCCACCAGAGTTCCCAGACCCTGCAGGAGGAAGGCGGCTGCTGAGAGTGGGCAGCTTGAGCAGACTGGTGGAATGCTTGTGAGGCAACCATTCCTCACCCAGCTGCAGATGGGCCTCTGAGCCAGAGAGCCTCTGGGCAGCAGGCGCGGAGTGAGCAGGCCCCACAGAGTGGTACTGGGGCATGGATTCTACAGGGATTCCTGCAGCCCCTTGAGGATCCCAGCAACTGCTTCCTACAGCTTCTGCCAAGGTTTCTGTGGCCCCTCTTGCCCAGAGACAGAGCATTGGGGTGGCACTCCAGGCCTTGGGGTCATCTTGCAGCATGCAGGCCATGCCGGGCAGGACTCCAGGACTCAGACTGGAGGGGCAGAGCCTGGAACCATGGGAAGGACTATAGGCACTGGATTTATGGGTAGGGGCATGGCCATGGCCACGGGAGGGGAAACTCAGGCACAGGACTCACTAGAGTTAAAAGAAGGACCATGGGACAAGGAACAGACATGGAGTCAGCAGAAGAATGAGGGTGAACACCAATACAGAGGAAGGGCCACGGAGTACTGTATGCAAAGATGTACCCTGAACGTGAGGGCACACCCGTTCCGTAGGGTGTACGTGGCTTTGCTGCCCTGAGAGGTGTCATGAAGATAGTCTTGCTAGAAGATATTTTGAACCTAGGCAGAGGGCAAGGCCACAGCCAAATTACCATGCAGATGCTCAAGACCCTGGAAGAGGCTCTGAGCAAAGCTGAGGTGCTCTTAGAGAGTGTGGCTTAAGGCGTTGTTGGGCAGATGGGGCTTAACGTGAATAAGCAAAATGACCGGACCAGTGTGAGGGGCGTAGTGAGGTGTAAGGGGCCATAGCCAAGATGGCTGCCCACATGAACCTCATACCAGTATCAAGTGCAAGGGTATATGCTCAGAGCATTCAGGTAAGATCCCATGGCCCAGGGGCGAGGGTCGTGGGGGAAGAGTCCCATGTCTTGGAAGTTTTCGCACGATGAGTCACTAGTGTTATATATAAGCAATCCCCTCCGTGCTAACCACTTGAGTCATAATAAATCCAAAGGACCTCTTTTTCTTGACTTCTTAGCATTCCCAGGATTTTACAAAACTCAGGATCAGAAATGTTTATAGAGAAAACTAGAGGCCCGATGCACGAAATTTGTGCAAGGGACTTGGCCCTCACAGCCCTGGCCAGCCCTCACAACCCAGGTTTTTTCCAGAGGACTTCCACAGTTCTTTCTAATTAGCATATTAGCTCTTTATTATATAGGGTGGCCTCCATCTGAAGAGGTTCAATTGAAGTATTCAACCAAGACAGAAAAGATAAGAACACTTACTGGTAACCAGTTTTGTTTTGTTTTTCTTTGTTTTGTTTTTAATATATTTTCATATATTTTTATTGATTTCAGAGAGGAATGGAGAGGGAGAGAGAGAAAAACATCAATGATGAGAGGGAACTATTGATTGGCTTCCTCACACATACTCCATCCTGGAGATTGAGTCTGCAACCCAGGCATGTTCCCTTGACCAGAATCAAACCCAGAATCCTTCAATCCACAGGCCAATACTCTATCCACTGAGCAAAACCAGGTAGGGCACCAGTTTGTTTTTTATGGACACCACTGTATTACTTAAGGTGCTATATAGAAACAGATCCAGTAAGAGAGTGGAGAGAGAGAGAGAGATTTATTTTAAGAAATTGGCTCACATGATTTCCAGACTGGCAATTCTGAAATATACACACAGGGCTGGCTGGCAGGTGGAGACCCAAGGAAGAGGTAATGCTGTGGCTCAGATCGGAAGGTTGTTTGGAGGAAGACTTCCTTCTTCCTTCGGGGACACCCAGTCTTTTCTTTTAAGACCTTCAACTGATTGGATGAGGCTCACCCACACAATGCAGAATAATCCTCTTTACTCAAAATCTATTTAAATGTTAATAACATGTTAAAAATACCTTTGCAACAACACCTCTACTGGTGTTTGACCAAAAACTGGTTACCATATCCTAGCAAGTTGACACATAAAATTAACAATCACAACCATCAATAATCCTTATTATCTTAGTTATTAAAACTACAATTTGTTTCTCCCTTAAACAAATCAAGCTAGTTCTTCTACAAACTGTGCAAGATTTCTGTGTACTAAAAATCTACAGCAAATTGACCTGTGTTTTTCTTGGCCTACATATTACTCAACTGTAGTTCATAGAGTTCTTTGATATAACAGGGTGGCTTTTACCATCTTTGGCTGCATATTTTCTGTTCACTAATATTTCCTAGAGGCACTTCAGCACTGGGTAGTATCACGTTCCACCAGCATGCATCTCTCATCAATTCAAGTATCCCAGTTGCTTTGATACAGATAAGTAATTGCAATCCTTTTGTTTATAAATCTGTGTCTTGGATTAAACATTCATGGCATCTATATAGTGAACAAAAATACACAAAGTATTCCAGCTCTAATGAAAGTTTAATCAGGATCTGATAACAGGGGCTCACAGAGAGCCCAGGGCAGCAGCTGGGCTGTGATCTTGCTGGTCAAAGGTAGGGGTAGCAGTCCTCACCTGGCCACCTGTGACAGCCACCAAACCTCTCCACTGCCAGACCTCTCGTCCATTTTAACTACTTTCTCCTTCCATTTCTGTACATTTTATAGCTAAACAGCTATGGCATTCCTGGACCAGGAACAAAGCTCCAAAGAGCTGGATTTGGAGGAGATAACTAGGGAAATTTCTTTTCTTGACAAATGGAGGGAAATCTTTAGTTATCACAGGTAAGATGCTCTCATTTTCTCATTTTTCTATTTCTAGAAATAGAACCAGAGGGATTTTAGATATTTAAGTAATCATCTTTTACACTTGCTCCATGAAAAGCTTCCATTATCAATTTACATTTAAAACACTTCAGGCATAACTATTTGCAGAAAAAGACTTTCCCAGTAAGGCTGGGTTGAGGAGGTTTGCATGTGAGGGTAGAAAAGAGTAAGTAATTTTCTTGATGTTTTCTCTTTCATCTTTAGGTTGGGAACCAATAATACAACTTCTCAGGTAATTACTTTTCTCAAAGCCAATGTGTTTTCTTCTAGTTGTTTCTTCAAACAACCACGTTAACAGCAAAATCCACTTATTGTATGCACATAATGTCACTCACGCACAGCATTTAACATCTGAAAACATACAGCTAGAAAGCCTGTTGAATATCTTTTCTTATGCTTTCTTTTTTCATACAAATCTCTTTCTATTTTCTTACTTTTAAGAGCTATTTTTTCATCATTAAAGCACCATATGGTTATTATTTTAGAAAAAAAAGTAATATTAGAATCTAGGGTTCCCACTCTTGTGAAATGACACTGTATTCTGAGAACGAAGAGCTCAGTGTCCCTGAGGAAAAGCAGTTTTGAAAACACTTACCTTTATACAACTTCTGAGAAATTGTTTTCCTTCACCATTTTCAAAGGAGAGAAAGATGACGGAATTCTGGTGTTAAGAAAGTATTTTAAAATCTGTTATACAATGTTAAAATAAAAAATGTTTGTATTTCATGTCACCTGAAAAACTTAGAAGGTAATAGACTTTGTATTTATATACTAATTCAATCATGGAATAAACACAGCACAAAATATTAATGTGATTTTCAGTAGTATATGATATGATCAAACAATGGAATTATTAATACTTTAACCACAACACTAAAGCATCTTGCCCCAACTAATCTGTGATCAAAAGCCTTATTTGTGCTACTCTCTTAACCATAGTCTAAATGAGAATCAGGGAGATAGTGATTATACTCTAGTCCTGGAAATACTAAATGGAGATAGCTGACATTTGGGGGAATAGAATGCTCAAATGATAAAACAATCTTTGAAAGAAAATAAATAAATAAATAAATAAATGCCAAGTAATGCTTTATGCCGGTGGTGAAAACCCCTGGCACAAAAGTAAAGATTTTCCATTTGATTTACAAAAATGCATCTTATCCCATCAGTAGCCTGTGACTGGATGCTATATTTCTGAGATAAGAAAACATCTTCACCTCTAGGAACCCAGAAAAACTAAGAAAGCAGTTTCTTTCATGCTTCAGCACCAATAGGGCAGATTTGTTTCATAACATTAGTGTAGAAGTTAAGTAAATTGGAAAAAGAGTTAATGCTAACATATTTAAATGCCATAAAATCAGTCACAAAAAAATAAAAATAGATTTTTTTACCTTAATGTTGGGGCATGAATTTTTTTTTAAGAAGAAAATTAGCCCTAGCTGGTTTGGCTCAGTGGATAGAGAATCAGCTTGTGGACTCTAGGGTCCCAGGATCAACCAAGGGCATATGCCCAGGTTGCAGGCTTGATCCCCAGTAGGGGACTTGCAGGAAGCAGCTGATTCAATGATTCTCTTTCATCATTCTATCTCTCTCTCCTTCTCTGAAATCAATAAAAATGTATTTTTTAAAATGAAGAAGAAAATTATACTCACATATTGGGGAATAGGAATCTGAGAAAAGTAAAGAGGTAACAACTTCATTTATTGGCCGGTTAACAATATAATAAAAATACTTCATATAGATTTGAAAAAATTACCTGTTATTTATAAGATGCTGTCCCCTCGAAACAAGACACATGACATTTATATTCTTCTCTAAACATTAATTATGTTTCCATAGTTGCATTTAACCTCCTCAAGTCACATATTCGATAAATCTTAGGAGAAGCCCTTTTGATGCAGACACTGGGGTTTTTCTGCCTCTTTTATTGCTGTGTATCACAATTTTGAGACATCTTGAAAAGGGAGACAACATTTTCTGATAAAAAGTATTTCAGAGAGAAAGAAACAAAAAGGGAGAGGTTATACAGCACTGTTTGCTTTGTTTTTGGCGGTGGCATGTGACACAGAATCATGGAGGCAGCCATGTGTCTGCTGATAAGAGTGAAGATGGACCAGGAACCCCTCAGCCCAAAAGACAAGGACTCTTGCCATCAAGTGGCCCTTGTTCTGCTCCCAAGCCCTCCATCATCTCTTCAAAGTGGAACAGCTTTCCTGTCTCCCTAGCAATGGCCACGGTGAGTACAGCTTGTCAATTAAACATGAAATGAAACGTAATCTTCCCCAAGCAACAGGGCTGGAGAATCTTATCTGCTGTCATGTGAGAGCATTACGAAGATAAGACTACTGACAGTTGTTATTGGTGGAAGGAGGATATAATTAAAATGACTTATTTATAGTATTTTTCAAGGGCACTGCTGATGTTACAGTCTTTTCCTCCCAAACACGGAGTCTCTCTTTGTTCCCTTCCTGGACCTAACAGTTAAATTTGAGGGAGTAAAGTCAGATGCGTCACCATATAAGGTAGGGTAGGGTAGGTTGGCTGGGGAGTGCTACATACATGTAAGACAATATCGAGGGGTGAGACAGGACCCTGTCCGAGTGTGGGCAGGAGGGAGGGAAGTGGGGAGATGTGCCAGACCCAGTCCTGGGCAAGAATTGATCTCAGGAAAAAAAAGATGTTCTTGGACTGCGAACTAATATGCAGATTTGAAAAAGAACATGATATATGAGGATCCAAGTAGATCTGAAAGTTTGGGGTCCTAAGGACCATTGGCTTATTTCAAAACTTGGCCAGGGTGGGTGCCAAAGGCAATGGAGACCTAGCTAGGAGGCTGGACCAAAAGCAACTCACTGGACTAAACAGGCCAGGGCTGGAGGCAGGGCTTTGGCAAATGTCCCAAAGAACCAGCTGTCATGGTCAAAGAGTCACATTGGAAACGGGAAGCTCAGCCTAGGACGGAGTCAGGAAAACAGTACCTGCTAGGTGAGAGATCCCTCCAATTTCACAACCCTCCAATGTAGCCCCCACATTCACCTCATCCCCCAACTTCACACTGTATTCTAGAGCCTTGGGTAGAGACCTTTCCCAGGACCCTAAAAGCAAGAGGAGGAAGAAGCACCTCCTTCCTGACCCAGGCTGTCCTACACCTGGGCATGGGTGCAGAAACCTCCGGGCCGAACTTGGCCATCTGAGCACACAGCAGCAACAGGTGCCTGTGCTACAGCTCCATGGTCTGGCACCATCCTCAGCCCCTGCTGAGGGGTTATTGAGGGGGCCTGGAAGCCTCCGCCTGTTTTTTTTTAATCCTCACACAGCATATGTTTACTGATTTGAGAGAGAGAGAGAGAGAGAGAGAGAGAGAGAGAGAGAGAGAGAGAGAGAGAGAGAATCTTCTACATGAGAGAAACATGGATTGGTTGCCTCCCCTACATGGCCCAAGCATCATCCCCATCCCATAACCTTTTGGTGTATGGGGTGATGCTTCCACCAACTGAGCCACCCAGCCAGGGCTGTAACTGCTTTTCCAGCACAGGTGGAGCTGGCCAGAGCACAGTGTTTCCTACTCTAAATATGGCCTTTCCTTAAGCTCCCCAGATTTAGGAACTCCAACCCCTCCCCCACCTCCCTCACTCCATTGCTTTTTATCATGCACATTCTCACAGGCCCCACTGTCACATGTGCAGCACAAGTGTACTGGAGACTTATTTGCTCCTTCTCATCAAAAGTCTTTCCACCTCAATCCACCTTCCCTCCTCTAGTCAACGCCAGAGGTCACAGAAGGCAGGTCAGCAGGGCTCTCATAAGATGCTACACTTTGCTTGCTGGCCTCCCAGCCCTGGGTGGGTGTCTTCACTTGTGTCTTAGGTATCTATCTAGCGAATCCTCCCCTTTGGGTAATAAAGACAGTTGATGCGTCATCCTGTGAGTGTAACCAGCCTCCGTGGTCACACGGCCACACTATGCTGAAGGAACAAAAGTTAGAGCAACTAGCTGTATTTTACTGGCCAAGATAATGCTTCTAATGAATATCCTCTAATAAAAATGAAGTATTGAAATAAATGCCAATGAAAATATTACTTTAAAATTTATATATATGGAAGTAGGTTACTTTTTGTGTGAGAGAGAGAAATTATAATTCTCTACTGGTATCTGCCTGTGTATGCTGCAGAAATTCCAGACGAGTGCCTAGCATGGAGCCGTGGAGCATGGGGACCAGAGACGCGGGTGTGAGGGAGTCTTTTTCAGTGGCCTTCTTGTATTCTGGATTTTGAATCATGTGAATATACAATTTATTTTTAAAAACACACATACAAACTTTAAAAATAGAAAAATGTATTCACAGACGCTTCCAGAGTCTTCCAGTCTCCCTCTGTTCTGTGGAGGCAGGAGAGTCTGGATCCGAATTTTCTCCTTTCTCCACAAACATAAACACAATGCAATTAACACCTCCCCACTGACTTTTCCATCGCAATTCTCTACCTTTGGAAAAGACTGGGATACAAAGGAATCGGACCACTATAGCCTGAAATGGATTGATGGAGTATTAAAGAAGTCCCAGAAGTAGAGATGATTGATTTTTCTTTAAAAAAAAGAAAAAGATTTAGGCTTATTCCCATTATATGGGCCAGATGATAGGGTGTCCTTTAAATAGTGGTCCCATTGATTAAACAATCCCTGGGACTTGAAGATGACACCTTGGGGTTCTCAATATGTTGTGTCTCAGGAGGTCATTTAGAAGCTTTGCCAATTCTACACGTTTTGGCAGTACAGCCATCTGGCAATTATCAGAGCTATTGAATCCTAACACCCACTGAATTATGCATTTTTGTCGTCATTCTGCTGTCTTCTTCCCCCTCTGTTTGAAGTAGGCATGTGTGGGATTCCCTGTCATTAGCACACTCGCTTTGTTGGAAATCTGCTCAGGAAGTAGGGTTAGGTGAAGGGACCTAGTACCCTTGCTTTTCCCAGCTCTCCTATTTCTGACCTTTTGTGGCCCTATTTCCAATATCATAGCCTTCCTCCTCCCCCAATCTAACGTCTTAGGTGGATGTGCTGCAGTGAACTCTGGTCAGGACTGCTGGCCCAGGTGAGCTCATGGAGCTCTGCACCTGCCTCTGGCTCTTCCACCAGCCTCATGCCATGCCTTCCTTCCCTCCAGTGGCAATTTCCCATCCTCCTCCACAGCCAGAGCCCTCCAGAACCCAACCCAGAACACACTCCTGTAGCCTCTTTGATTGGCAACCAATAAGCAAACCTTGGTGTATTTGCAACTCTACCCAGCAGGATCACACTACACTGGCTGGACCGCATGTAATGCTGGGAGAGCAGGTATTCTGGGCAGACTGTAATAGATGAAGCTGTAATAGAGAATAGAGGGCAGCAGGCAAAGAGATGGCTTTTGGGGAGCAGGAAGCACAGCCTGGTGGCCCCAGCATAAGGTCTGGCCGATAGATGGGCCCCAGGTTATGTTTACTTCATTCATTAATTCACTGCTCTGGGTGATTCCCCTGGAGAGGCATTTCAGCAGGTGTCATTCATGTGCCACTTCAGATGCACCTTCTAGCCTGAGACTGACTGTAGTGCTCCATCCTCCTCTGGCTTTCTGTCCAGTTTATCCAATGGGAACTCGAAAGGGAGCCTGGAGGGAGGGAAGGGAATGAAGTCACGTGCAAAGCTGGCTGGACCCACTCCTCCGATGCAGTCCCCTCCCTAGGACTCTCCTTCTTGGTTCAGATAACCACTCCTCTTCCCTGCATTAGTCATTGTGGTTTCCCTTTAAGTAGCCCACATCGTTGTAAATAGTTCCTCTATTAAACTTTCCTCAAGTTAATCATCCTGACTTGAGAGAGCCACTGTTTCCTGCTGGGACCCTGACTGGTATATGTTGAAAGGCTTGCATTTGGGTCCTGGCACTGCCATTTACTAATTATGTAACCTTGGGCATCCCAATTAATTGCTCTGGGCATCAAGATTTTTACATGTAAAGTGAAAGGTTTTTTTTTTTAATTATTAAACAAATGCTTATTGTGAGCTACTCTGTACCAGGCACTACTCCAGATGTGGACAAATCCATGGCAGGGCTCCAATCTCCTGGAGCTGGATGGGGGTCGGGCCAGGGCAGAGCCAGGCAGGCTAGGAAGGTGGGTTTAGCTGCGTCCTCAACGAGGTTCAGCCTGCTTCCACGGTAGAGATGGCACTGCTGCTATGAGGGGTGGGGGAGGAGGAAGGGTCTGACCCTGGGGGGCTGCTCAGCCTGCCTCCACCCAGGTCTGGAGTTGTAGGGAGGAGAGGCATGCCCAACCCGAGCGAAGGAGGCCCAGCAGCAGAGGGCCATGGGCCCCAGGTGCCTTGGGGGTGCTGACAGGTGGTTGCTGGTGTGTTATTGTTGGGGGGAGAGTAAGGGGAGGATGAGGAGGGGAGAGATCAGGAATCAGAGGTGCAGGCTGCAGCTACCCTGAGGCTGGGTCTTCTCCCAGTTCTGTCAGCCTCCCCGTCCCCCCAGGGGTGCGGGGCCTGAGGTAGGGTGCCTGAGCAGGATTGGAAGAGCTACCCATGGCTGCTTCCTCTTCTTTTTTGCCGTCCAAGCTCCTGTCAAGCACTCTCCAGACCCCCAGGAACTTGGCTCCAGCTGCCTGCCCCCTGCTGCACACCCAGCCTCCAGTTGGTCTGTCAATATGCAAATTGGTCATTACTGGGACACAGTAACAGACAATTAGCATATTACCTCTTTATATGTATAGATGGATTTCAGAGACAGAAAGGGAGAGGGAAAGAGAGATAGAAACATAAATGATGAGAGAGATTCATTGATGGCTGCCTCCTGCACACCTCCTACTGGGGATGGAGCCCAGAAACCAGCATGTGATCTCACCTGGAATTGAACTTTGACCTCCTGGCTCATAGGTTGATGCTCAACCACTGAGCAATACCGGCTGGGCTATTCCTTTTTTTCTGGAGCAAGTCATGAATATAGGGGCATCAGCACAAGGACAGAGCCACAGCCTGGCATGTACTATGTGGAGTAAAAGGAGAGATGGCTAGCAATGAAAGAGGATACAAGGATTACATCAAATAGGGATCATATAGGTTTAAGGTTGGCATACTGAGCTTTCAGGATCAAATGTCCTCAGTGAACCTGACATGAATCTTCTGCACAGTACTTTACAATTAAAATAGAGAAGTGTAGCTCTAAATGTAGGAAGGGGCAGGCCACCTCCGTGGTTTTACTGCCTTAGTTAAGGTTGATGAGGAAAGTGCCTCAGAAGAATTATCTTCCTTTGAACTCACCATTTGAATTCCCTCCTCTCAGAAGCTGCAGCAGAGCCTCTTTGGAAATACGGTCTATGTCTTCAGCTGTGATTGGAAAAAGGCCTGTTTCAGGTTCCATGATCCTTTTTCTGACCTGGCTTTTGCTTTGGAAGTGGAAAAGGTAATAGCAGATGACAATTTTTAAAAAGCCCAATTCTATATTCCTTATCTATGTTTCCTTTTATCCTCATTCATGTAACACATGTTTTCATTGTAATAACTTGTAGAAACATATCAATAATTTAAAATTTGAGATTAAATGATAACAGACTATTTAAAATTATAACTTACTGTCTGAGTTGTAACAAAGGCTCAGACTTCTTTTTCTTCTCTCTCCCTCCTTGTAACTTCCAATTTTCCTGGATTTTTACCTAAGTCCTAAGCATCTCTGAGGATTTAGAGGCAGGAGATCTAGCAACTTCTCTCTGGCTTATTCAAAACCTCAATAATTCATGTCAGTGATCAGCAGTCACACACAAGTTCAAGAGCTAGGCATCTATTTCCTTATCTCCTACAAATGTGCACATTGATCTGAAGCAGGGGCACCAGGGAGTCGGGTGGAAGAGAGCACATATCCCCAGGTGCCAGTACTCCACAAGGAAGTTGATCACTGCAGATTCCAGCTTGGCAGCAGCCCATGGAGAAGGGTGGGTCAGTGTAGTGCAATGTCCCTTGCTCAGTCTAGGGGTTGCTGTACACCAGAAGGGACAGGCTGCACGGAAGAACAGAGCATGATATCCATCTGCATGAGTTCTCCCTTGGAACGTCAGCCCTGAGAGGCTCCATTACCATTGTGAAGCTCTGCTCCTAACCTTACTATTCATCTTCCCCTTTGCAGGGAGGTGCCCAAAGTGTTCAGATGGCCGTACAAGGATTGATCATCAAGTACTTGCTGTTTACAAGGGAGGAGAAAGACAGTAACTTCCACAGGTAAGAGGAAGTACTTGGAAGAGTCACTCATTTCATGAGAACCTTTATTTGCTAAATAATCACAGCAGAAATCCCTGGGTCCCCTCAGGAAGAAGACTTGCTCACAAACAAAAATGGGGCTGGTTCTTCCCTCGGAGCTGGGTTCTGTGATGGGGATGGCTCTCCTGGGGTTACTCTCAAAGTGCAGCTGCAGAATAATGTTGACAGTTTTATGCTCTGCTGCAGATCACCCTGTCAGGTAAAATAAAACACCAGGTCTTAGGTGGGCTTCCTTGATAATATTCGACAGGAAGTTTCAACCTAGCAATTCCAGGGAGGAACAAAATGGCAATGAAAACCCCTGATAAGTGAAGGACTAATTATTCCTCTCTAATCAGGCTGCCAAAGTACAGAGTTTGGTATTTGCCATTAGTTCAAATTACTTTATTCTTAGAAGTTAACAAACCCTATTGTTTGCAAAACATTATGCTTGCCATTAGAGAAAATATAAATAAGTAAAAGGCATCTACTTCCTTCAAGCAAGATAAGTCATCACCAAAACTGGAATTAAGTGTACAATATATTCTAAGTTAGTGAATTGCCAGGTTCCTCAGAAACAGAGTAAGCTGAAATTCCTTATACGAGGGGTTAATGAAGGAAATGCCCTCAGTTGAAACCTGGAAAAAAAGAGTGGGAAGCAGGATGAGGAAGGAGAGACTGAGAAGGAATAGGATTCTGAACAGTGACTCTAAATGACACGCTAGGTCAGATGGATTTAGTTGACATTTACAGAATAATTCTGTACTATAGGCCTACTTTAAAAAACAAGAAAAACTTATAATAAATTACTTAACTCTACAACTTAAAGAATTAGAAAGAGAACAAGAAAAACCTAAAGTGATAGAAGGAAGGAAATAATAAAGATCAGAGCAAAAATAAATGACATAAAGACTGAAAAAACAAAAACAAAAAATCAATGAAACCAAGAACTGGTTCTTTGAAAAGATAAACAAGATTGATAAACCTTTAGACATATTTCATCAAAAAACAAAGAGAGATAGCCTAAGTAAATAAAATCAGGAACAAAAGCAGTGAAGTAACAACTGACAATACAAAAATACAAAGGATTATAAGGAAATACTATGAACAACTATATGCCAATAAACTGGACAATGTGGATGAAATGGAAAAATTCCTTAAAAAATACAATCTTCCAAAACTGAATCAGGAAGAGCCAGGAAACCTAAATAGGCCAATAACAACAGATAAAATTGATTTAAAAAAAAATCCCACAACTCCTGGCAAACAAAAGCAGTGGTATGGATGGCTTCACAGGTGAGTTTTACCAAACATTAAAAGAAGAACTAACACCTCAAACTATTCTAAAAAATTCAAGAGGAAGGAACACTTCTGAGCTCTTTCTATGAGGCAAACATTATCCTAGATAATGACACTACAAAGAAAGAATATTATAGGTTAATATCCTTGATGAACAAGATGCTAAAATCCTCAACAAAATATTAGAAAATTGGATCCAGCAATATATTAAAAAGATTATATACCATGACCTAGAAGGATTTATTTCAGGGATGGGAAGCTGTTACAATATTCACAAATCAATAAGTGTGATACATTACATAAAGAAACTGAAAGGAAAAAAATCACATGATCATGTCAATAGATGCAGAAAAAGCATTTGACAAAAGACAGCACCCATTTTTGATAAAAACTCAGCAAAGTGGGAAGAGAGGGATCATACCTCAATATAATAAAGAACATAGCCAATAGACAAACCTATAGCCAATGTCATACTCAAATGTCAAAAACTAAAACCATTTCTCCTAAGAATAAGAACAAGACAGGAATGTTCACTTTCACTTCTCTTATTCAACTGGAAGTCTTAACTACAGCAATCAGATAAGAAGAAAATATAAAAGACATACAATTTGGAAATGGGGAAGTAAAACTCTCATTATTCGAAGATGATATGACATTGTACATAGAAGACTCTAAAGACTCCACCAAAAAACTACTAGCTTTAATAAATGAATTCAGCATTGTAGCAGAATACAAAATTAAAACCCAGAAATCAATGGCATTTTTATATACCAATAATGAATTTTCAGAAAGAGAAACTAAACAAACAATCCCATTTATCACTGCAACAACAACAAAAATTAAGATATTTAGAAATAAACTTAACCAAGGAGGTAAAAGACTTATATTCAGAAAACTACAGGATATTGAAAAAAAGAAATAGAGGAAGATATAAACAACTGGAAGAATATACTGTGTTCATGGATTGGTAAAATTAACATAATTAAAATGTCCATACTACCCAAAGCAATCTATAGATTCAATGTAATCTCTATTAAATTAGCAACAGCATATTTCACAGATCTAGAAAAAATACTCCAAAAATGTATCTGGAACCTGAATAGCCACAGCAGTCTTGAGAAAGAAAAACAAAGATGAAGGAAACACAAAACCAGATATCAAGTTATACTACAAATCCACCATAATCAAAACGCTGGTATTGGCACAATAACAGACATATAGATCAATGGAACAGAACAGAGACAGAAATCAACCCAAGTCATTACACTCAGTTAATATTGGACAAAAGGAGGCAACAGCATACAATGGAGTCAAGACAGTCTCTTAAATAAAGTGTTGGAAAATTGAACAGATACATGCAAAAAAAGAAAAGAAAAAAAAAAAAAGAAACTAGTTCATTTTTACACCATACACAAAAATACTAGTAAGCTCAAATGGATAAAAGATGTAAATGTAAGTCATAAAACCATAAAAATCCTAGAAAAAAAACCTATAGGCAGCAAAATCTCAGACATCTCTCATAGCAATATGTTTGTGGATATATCTAGGGCAAAGGAAACTAAGGAGAAAATTACCAAATGGGACTACATCAAAATTTTAAAAAGGCTACATAGCAAAAGAAACCATCAACAAAATGAAAAGGTGCTGGAAAAAAATTGCATTGTATGGGAGAACATATTGATAAAAGGTTACTATCCAAAATATATAAGGAATTCATGCAACTTAGCAAAAGGAAGACAAACAATCTAATTTAAAAATAAGCAAATGATCTAAATGAACACACATCCAAAGTGACAAATAGATATCCAAGAGACATATGAAAAAATGCTCAGTCACTAATCATCAGAAAGATGCAAATTAAAAAAATAATGAGGAATTACCTTACACCTGCCAAAATGGCTACCATCAACAAATCAACAAATGAGAAGGGCTGTAGAGGATATAGAGAAAAAGGAATCCTAGTACACTATTGGTGGAAATGCAGACCGGTACAGCCATTATAGAAAACTTTATGGCGTTTTCTCAAAAAATTAAATATGGAACTGCCATTTGACCCAGTAATCCTTAGGAATATGTCAAAAGAAACTCAAAACACCAATCAGAAAGAACATATGCATGCCTAGGTTCATAGCAATGCAATTTACAATAGCTAAGATCTGGAAACAGCCCAAGTGCCCATCAGTAGATGAGTGGATAAAAAAGCTGTGGTACATTTATACCAAGAAATACTTTGCAGCAATAAAAAAGGAGAATCTTTTACCCTTTGATACAGTATGGAGGGACCTTTTAGAGTATTATGCTAAGTGAAATGAGCCAAAGAAAGACAAGTATCACATGATCTTACTCATAAGTAGAATCTAATGAACAAAATAAACTGATGAACAATATTGAACCAGAGACATAGAAGCATGGGATAGAGTGGGTGGGTATAAAGAGATTAACCAAAGAATTTGTATGCATATATGCATAACCCATGGACACAGACAATAGTGTGGTGAAGGCCAGGGGCAGGGGGTGGGGAGGAAGGGCGGGCTAGAAGCAGTGAGTAGGGAGGAAAAGAACATATGTAATACTTTCAACAATTACAATTTATTTTTTTAAAAAGAATAGGATTCTTGTGAAGTCTAGCCTCAATCTGTTCCCCGGAGCTCATTGCCCATCCACAGCTGAGGGAGCAGGGCTTTGGTACCTCCACTCCATCAGGCATCGGCCTTGGCCATCCTGCAGGAGAAGCATAACTCCTTGTCCCCTCTGCGCCAGGTGTCTCCAGTACTTCAGAGAAAGTTGAAAAGTAGGAACCGGTAGCAGCAGTACTGGAAGCAGCTGGGTGACATGTCCACCATCTAAGTAAAAAGGATCCCAGGGAATCTAGATGGAGCGCACACAATTTGCTGCACAAATGTAAAGCATTTAGCACAGTCCTGGCTTGTGGCAAATATGAAATACATGGTGATGAGTAACTGCTATGATAGTTCAGCTCCATGAAGCTTCCCATGCCTTTTCAGCTATGCGTTCTCTCTCCTGTACTCTCACAGCACTCTCTTTTGTTCTCATTCACCTCCTACTAGGATGTTGGAGTATGAGGCTCCTTGTGACTCATTTCTGTTTTGCCACAGAACTAGGTGGATTCTATAAGTTATTACTGAATTAATTAATGAAACCTAGTGTGTTTCTTCATTGGGAGAACAGTTGTCAATGTAAAATACTGAGAAAACAGGCAGAGTTAAGTACATGACTAAAGGTGGGTTTCTATTTCCTGGGAGGTTGGGAAGCCTGAGATTATTACTCAGTGGAGTGTAATGGTTAGGACTAGGGAATCAGGAGCCAGACTGCCCACATTCAAATCACTGCTCTACCACTTTAAAGATGAATGACCAGGGGCAAATTACTCTGTCTTAACTTCACCTCTAAAATGGGACTAATAATAGTATCTACCTTGCAGGTTGTTGTGAGGACTAAATGAGTTGATATGTGTGAAGTGCTCAGAACAACACTGGGCACAGTGAGTGCCAGTGAATGTCAGCTCTGGGTAAGGTGGGCAACCTGAAGTAGACTTCCAGTGATGCCCACACTGTGGTCAGGCAGACAGGACATACATGGTGTGCATATTAAAGGCAGACAAGTGCATGAACAAATGTGGGAAATATGTTCAGGGACTGGTCCATCTGGGGCAGAGGGTTTGCAAAATGGAAATCTGGGAGATAAAACTGGGAGAATTGTTTGGGACTGAGTCTTTGCTAGAGTTCTGGAGAGAGGACAGAGGTGGGACTCAGTGATGGCAGTACTAACACCCCCCTGCCCCATATCACCAAGAGCAATATGCTGCTGCAAGGATGCCAGTTCCAGTGACAGCAGAGAGGACAAGCCCTCATGATATCCTCACAGTGTAGGTTAATGAAGGAACCAACCCTGCATTCAAAGTTCATAAGAGTGGAGGCCCCAGCACACATCCAGATGACAGTACATTCTGACCCCACCTCCTGCCTTGCAGTCTATGTGCAATAAGCAAGCAAGAGCAGAAGCAGGCCCTGGCTGCGGCACTCGCTGGTATCCTGTGGGTGGCAGGAGAAGCTCAGAAGGCCACTGTCTGTCTTATCACTGAGGACATTCAAGTCACCTCAACTCTTGACTATGCTGAGGACAATTTCACTGAGAGGGTGAGTGCAATCCTGATTGTTCTGACAGAGAAGGGTGAACAAAGCCTGGGTACTGGTTCACCATGGAAATGGAGGTGGGGCCCCATCGATGATTCTATGAGTGTCTGCTAGGGCCAGTGGCACCATTCAAAGAGGTGAGGGGCAAGGGTTGTAGGTGATCCAAGCAGCCAAAACAGAGAACCCTGCTACAGATTCCTCCTTCCATCATGATCAAGAATATCCCATACCTGAAATCATCATAAAGTGCATGTCCATGCCCACTGTCTTAAACATAGCTAAACTCTACCTATTTATGGTTTTACTGCTCAAGATATCATATTTATTTAAAACAGAGGGATGTAAACATGAGGCCAGTAGCTACCCAATTTTACCATGTTTTATATGGCCTTATGTAAGAGAATAAGTCAGTTTTTTTAACAATGTGATTTTACAATGAAGCAAAAATCTCCCTTGAGGTAATAACAATGAATTGACATCTTATAGGTGTAGCTTTCATCTTCCTTCTCATTTTAATCTTCTCTTCCTGATTTATAGCTCCAGCTGTTTGAAGTTTCGGAGAAAGAGGCCACTGAGAAATTCATCTATGATCATTTACAATGTGTAAGTGTTTAAGGACTGAGATAATTACTTTATGTTGAACTGATCTTACAGAGGAACCTTCTCTCTTTTACAAAGTGTCTTTTTAATGATGCTTGTTAAGAAAACCAGGTCGTCTTGAGGGCTCAGCAAAGGCAGAACAAGAGAAAGGAAGCCCGCCTCTCCCTTCCCACAATCTAGAAAGAGGCAGATCACACACCGGCCACTCCTTGAAAATAACATGATAGAGGGCATATGCCAAAATTTCTTTTGTGGAGAGAAAATGTTAAAGCAGTCTTGCCTCATCTAGTGAATAAAAGACAAAAGTGGTAGATAACGAAGGTTCTAGTCTGAATTGCCAAAATGACCATTCACATCTATGCCAAAGAAATAGCTTCTGTCCTGAAAAAGGTGGCCCTGTTTCACCTCTCCCATCAGCACTTCCCACACAGTGTTCTCCTCCACAATTGTTCTCACCCAGCCCCTGGAAAGTAACAGAAGGTTTTATTTTAAAAGATTCTTCTGCGGAGAAACAAAGGAAGCTAATTTCCTGAGGAACTGAGATTACAGTGTGAAAGCGGAGAACCTGAGCAGGTGATGGCAAAGCCACACAGCTTTGGGCTGTGTAGAAGGGGACTGTGATCCATGGAACTCACTGCTCCACTCCCTTTCTAAGGTCGTAGAGGCAGAAACCTGGGGGTTGCGTTCTCAGCCACACTAACTGTATAAAACCTTCTTTAGACTGGTTTCCCCGGGTCCATCTCACCCACCATCTCATAGGTCTGTGTTCGGCAAAAGAATGGTCTCCCAGAGATGTCCATGCCCTAGTCCCTGGAACCTATGACTGCTACATCACCTGGCATAGGGGAAGTAAGGTCTCTAGTCAGCTGACTTTACAACAGGGAGAGAACCTGGGTTACCCAATTGAGTCCGATGTACTCACAGGCTCCTTGAATGTGGAGGAGGCAGAAGAGAGGGGAAGAGTGATGTTTGATGAGAGGTGTCACCACTGTTGCAGCTTTGAAGATGGAAGGTGGGACTGTGAACCAAGGAATGTGGGCAGGGCCACTAAAGCTGGAAAGGAAAGGAAACGGATTCTGCCCTCAGCCCCCAGAAAGAATGCGGCCCTGCTGGCATCTTGATTTTAGCCCAGTGAGGTAGCCATTTCAGACTTCTGACCACCAGAACTATAAGATAATACGTTTATATTATTCAATCTTCTAAATTTATAGTAATTTGTTATAGCAGCAATATGAAACAAATAAAACCTGTATGATAGATTTTCAATGGCTGATGTGAAATGTTAAGCTGGAAGCCTGCTTAGAGACTATCTTGCAAGCAGGAGATGTTTAATGGGATTACACAGAAAGAGAGGAGCCATGTAAGAAGTAAATGATCCTTCCAGCTAAAAGAGGCATACACTTCCCTCTCTGTCTTCCATCTCTTCAACTCAGACCTGGTCTGAGTTATTAGGAAGGACCCCCACATCTAAAGGTCTTCTCAGGAGTCGAGAATCAGAGGGCCAGCATGGAGCTCCACACAGCTTTCCCCATCAAAGGCTAGGAAAAGCTAACAAAGGCCCTAAGCAAAAGCAGGCTGTGCATCACAGGTGGGCTCTGCACAGAGCTGCCTGCATCAAGCCGACCCAAAATGACCCTTTCCATAGCCGCACTGAGGATGGGTTGGCCCCATTTCCCGAGGGGAAACTTGATGCACATATTCTGAAGGGTGCTTCCTGACCAGAGGCCGCTCGTTGTGATCAGCCCCCATTCAGACGTTTATCAAACCCCATTCACTCTGAAAATGCACCAGTCCTGTGTCCTAGTTTAAAGCACAGATCTCAAGTGAGGAGTCTGAGGGCTACATGTGAGCAGCAGACTTGTTATAGGTTGAAGTGCATCCCTCCAAAATGATATGTTCAAGTCCTAACTCCCAGGACCAATGAATGTGCTCTGATTTGGAAACAGGGTCTTTGCAGATGCAGTCAAGTTGAGATGAGTCCTGCTGGATTGGAGTGGCCCTAATGCAATGACTGATGTTTTTATAAGAAGGAAATTAGGGCACAGACCCGGACATGCAGGGAGAGCACCCTGTGATGATGGAGACAGAAACGGGGGCAATACATCTCCCAGATCAAGGGACACCAGGGATTGCCAGCAGCCACCAGAAGCTGGGGAAATCAAGAAAGGATCTTGGAGAGAGAGCACAGCCTTGCTCTGTCACCTTTAGTTAAGACTTCTGACCTCCAGAACCAGGAGAGAATAGTGTCCTATTGTTGTAAGTAATTTAGATTTTTAGTAGTTTGTTATTGCAGAGCTAGGAAAGCAATACGGTATCTGCAGCATTAACCCACACAGTTAGATTTTTTTTTTTTAATTTTGAATCAGCAATTGTCAAAACCCATCAGGAAATCCCACATAAAAACCTGAATTTTAGCTCCCCCCCCCCCAAAAAAAAATCAGAAAACTTGTCTGCTCTAGACCTATAGCTTGGCATGTCATTAGTTAGCTGAGTGTGATTCCCATTAGACAAGTTGTGATGGAGTGAATGATGTTACCTAATAGGTATGAAGGGCTCTGATGAAGCTTAAAATTTTGAGAACAGGAGGGTATCCTAGTTTATCCTGGTGGGCTCAGTTAGACATGGGTTTCATAAGGAAAATGGGTGGTGGGAGAGAAAGAGGAAGAAGTGCGGTGCCAAAGCACTGGTATCTCAAAAGCCAGCCAAGGAGCTTCTTTGCAGCAAGTAGAGTGTTGACCAAAAACTACAATAAGGCCAGCGAAGAAAGGCCCTGAATGTTAGCTGGTCAAATTGGATTTGATACTGGAGATCACAGGGCACCTTCAGAAGGTTCTGAGCAGAAAAGCAACCTGCCAAGGGAAGAGACAGGAGAAGTGCCTCAGAAAAGAACAGGTACTGGGACTTAGCACATTTCCTTCTGAAATCAAGACAGGTATTTTTATTATGTCATTTCACTTTTGCAACAAACCTGGCAGAATAGGTTTTTTATATGCAATTTTAGATGAGGAGATTGAGCTCAAAGAAGTTAGACAACTGTGAGTTAGTAAGTAGTAGAACTGGTTCTGAACCTAGGTCTGTATAACTCCAGGTCTGTATTTCTATAAAGCCTGTCATCTTCATCCCACTCCACTTCCCCCTCCCCCCCACACACATACTTCCCCTGAGTTTAATTGGGCAATCAAGAGGGATTCACTGACTAAGGAGAGGCTGGGCAGGGGCCAGCCAAGAGCAACCCTGGGACGTGGGCTAGGATGGACCCAAAAAAATGGAGAGGAAAGAAACGCTACATCTTAGCTATAGTTTGAAGAAAATCATAAGACAGAAGTGGAGGAAAGAAAGAGAGGTTGAAAATGGAGATAATGATGTTATCATTGGCAGGCTGGAAGCAGGAAGGAGAATGCATTTGAGAGTGGAGATAGATCGGGGAGGGGGGGGTGGACGGCGGCAAAGAGAGCTCCAGCTACCTTTTAAATGGCTAGAAAAGAAATCTCTTAGGCAGCAAATCCATGAATTCAAATAAATAAATTAATAAATAAATCTTTGCTTGGAGGCAAATGTGCTTTTCCCTTGCTTTCCAAATAGTTCAGTGGGGAAGGAAGCCATGGTGTCATCCTGTTTCTTTACAGCCTGATCTTCTCCAGAACATTTGAAAGGTAAGTTCTACAAATATTTACCCAGCATTTCCTTTGGCTCTGGGGTCACCTAAACCATGTACTCTGGTGTTGGAGAATACTTTCTTGCCTACTAGAAACATGAGGGCAATTTTTTTCTAGTGGATGCTCTTGCTATAATCTTTTCTATAATCAGTTTGGCCATAGTAATGGGTAAATGACTGTCAGGAAACTGAATCTGCTTTTGTGGTACAGTCCTAGGGTTCTTTTTGTGGTTATAAATATAGGCAGACAACAAAGCTTATTTGTACAATTTTCATATAAAATGTTTTATTACTTATATGCACAGAAAATAGATTTTCAAGTATTTATTTTGCCTCTGTGATATGCAAAGGCCTGCTATTCACACTGTGGGAAATCCAAATAAAAGAAGATAGGACCCTGGCCTCCTGCAGGTGCCAGTCTGGGAAAGACGAGGTCCACATAGAGCCTGGGCAGTCCCAGCTGGTACTTGATGGGCCAAATGAGGAGTGAAGACAATTAACCCAGTGGATTCCAGAGGAGGAAGGGTGCCCAGCAGTTATGAGAGTCTAGGAAGACTTCTTAGAAGTAGATTGAAAGAGAGGTAAGCTTTGTGAGAGGTAGAGAGCCCCCAGAAGGGAAGAATTACAAGTCCTGAAGCAGTATTCCTGAAACCTGTCTTTTGTTTATCTCCATCCCATTTTTGTGGTCTATATTATTATTATTTGCTTAAGCTTGCTTTAAATCAACACACATTTAAATATTAACTTCTTTCTAAACATTAATATCCTTTAAAATGCGTATTTGGTTTGCTGAAGAAAATAAGTGTTAAAAACATCACTATAAAAAAAATTTAAATGCTCATCTCTGTTATCATCCAAAATTGTGCCATACTTTGGAAAGCACTGCCCTGAATTGTACCTGATGCCATCAAGGCATTTGCCATGCTTGAGCTAGTCTCTGCGTGACCTCTAGTCCTGGGAATATCTGTCAAAGACACATAGAGCTCTCATACCAGCACCTTCCTCTCAGTAACAACAGGAGCCATGCTGCACCTTGACTTTAACATGGTCTAGGGTAGAAACCCAAACCCTGGTCTCTAATGAAACAGTAGAGGCTGCCCTTCTATAGCCAAGAAAAGAGCTCAACCCCCCAGCTGTTGTTTTCCACTTAAACAGTCTGTTCATTTCTGCCTTGGCCAGTTCTCTCTGGAGTGGTCACCTGTCACCACCCTCAGCCAAGCATCCCTTGTCCCAGAGCAGTTTCTCTACTGAGCCCAGCATTGGAGCATATACAGGGATTCTAACGCATGAGGTCTGTAGCTTCTCCCTCACCACTTATCACTGGCTTCTCCCACCTGCACCCATAGCTGTCCCTATGCAGCCCCAGACTTAGAAGCTTTCCTGTGAGAGAAGGAGACAGGGAAGGCACATGGGAGGGACAGTGACCAGGCAAGCCCATGTGACCGCCGCTTTGTGTTGTGCTGGAGGGAGGAGAGGCTGCAGGGCCTCGGCACAGTCATCCTCACTGACCAAATGCTGATGGCATCTCCCATTCTGCAGGCTTCAGAAGGACCTGGATGTCTCCGCCATTCATCTGCTACAACCAAATGCTGGAGGCTTCCTATGCAGGCAGGTAGGGTGGAAGACTGGCTTCTGTTGTAGAGTGTGAATTAGGCATTTTTAAAAATGAGCATATTCTCTTAAATGAAGAGACATCAACTTACCCTTGAAAGACTAAGATGCTGCCCTGAATCTGTTATTAGATTTGACTTTCCAGTTCCCATTACAGTCTCTTCTAGTTTACCTCTGAGCAGCCTCTATCCCTGAAATTCTAGAAACATTCGAAAATGTTCTTTTTTTCCCTTTTTTTCAAATTTATTGGGGTAACATTGTTAACAAAATTATAGAGGTTTCAGGCGCACAGTTCTACAGCACATCATCTGTACACTGATTGTGTGTTCATCCCTCCCCCCCAAGTCAAGTCTCCTCCCATCACCATTTATCCCCTAATACCTCCTTCACCTCCCAAAAATATTTTGTCAAGACCCACCAGGAATCCCTAATAACTTAAAGAAAAGTGCTATAACAACATATGAGTCTTGGGCTTCTTACACTTTAACCATGGAAACCAAAGTTTAAAAGGAATGTAAAGGGAGGGTGAGCAACAGGTTCCAAGTGGGACACACGAGAAGTTATGGACTCTGGCTCAAGAAAAACAGTTGTTTTAACCCTAAAATGTTAATGACATACATTTTCCCAGAATTATGTATTGTGTGATTTTATTATTTTCAATAAAAATGGTAACTTAAAAATGATTAGTTAAAGGAAAAAGAAATTAAGTCTTGTGCCATTGCTATCTAAAATGTAGTATTTATAAACTGTGTCACTAGGCAGTTTTGAACATGGTTTTAACTGGAAGAGCAAGTCCACATGTCTTTAATGGCTGTCAAAATGGAAAGTCTCAAGAAATGCTACATGGAGTCCCAGCACGCAGTGACATTGGCTATTTGCAGTGGGGGAAGCGCACCTCAGAGGATGGGCTTTCCCAGGTGAGTGCTCCTGATTCTCAACTGCATGATCAAGTGCCAATATTTTGACATGTTTAAGTCTCTATGTTAAGGTAGTTCAAGTGTGATCTTACTTTTACCCTTTCCTGCATACCTCCCACCCATCACACACACACACACACACACACACACACACACACTTTCAGGCCTAAACAGAAATAGCCAACTCTACTTACTTAATATTTTATTTTATGCATTTTACTAGAGTCCCGATGCACAAAAATCTGTTCAAGAGTAAGCCTTCCTTCCCCCAGCTGCCAGCATGGCCTTCCCTCTGGCACCCAGGACCCAGGTTTCCCTCCTCTGGCTGCCCGCAGGCACTGGGGACCCAGGCCGGCTTCCCTCCAGCCCCAACTTTGTTAGGAAGAACATCTGGTATCACATCGCAAGACATCTAATCTAGTTAGCACATTACCTTTTTATTAATATAGATATAGAGAGAGTATAAATAATACAATTAATATGAAATATTAAAAAAAAAAACAACCTGAAATAGCCCTAGCTGGTTTGGCTCAGTGGATAGAGTGTTGGCTGCGGATTGAAGGGTCCCAGGTTTGATTCTGGTCTAGGGCACATATCTTGGTTGCAGGCTCCTCCCCATACCAGGACTTGGTTGGGGCTCGTGCAAGAGGCAACCAGTCAATGTGTTTCTCTCACATAGATATTACTGTGTTTTTCCCTCTCTCTTCCACTCTCTCTAAAAATCAACGGAAAAATAACTTCGGGTTAGGATTAAAAAAAACACACAAAAAAAACCCTGAAATATAAGATAAAAAGAAAGTCCTCTGGCATCCCACCCAGCTATAGAGCCCCTTCTCAGAAATCAGTATAGTCAATAGCTGGTGGCTATCTTCCCAATCCTTTATTTATGAAAATGAACAAATACATTTTATCTATTGCTCAAAGCCTTAAATATATATATATATCACTGGGGGATAAAGGGAAACCCTTGGGTTTTTTAAATTTTATTTTCAACTAGAGGCCTAGTGCATGAAATTTGTGCATGGGTGTGGTCCCTCGGATTGGCTGGTGATCAGAACCTATTGGGGCCAGCTAATTGGGGCCTGCTGGCCAGGTAGAGAGGTGGAGGGGAGGGACCATGGATGTTGGCTGCCAGCCCTGAGGAGAAAGTCAGCCTTTGGACTCCTGGGAAAGAGGCTGCATCTGCCACTACCCACTTCCGGTTCCCTGTCCCAGCCCAGAGCCCAAAGGCCCCAGCGGGGTCAGGAGAGGAGGCAATGGTTGCCAGGCTAGGTGCGGAAGAAATGGATGCTGGATGACAATGCCCACCATCAGCACTCTGCCACCACACGGTTCCCTGCCTCCCCCCTTCTTCTTCCCTCACTGCTGTGCTACCACCAGGGCTTGCCGGCCGGGGGGAGGGACAGGTCCTGCTGGCCAAGGAGAGGGACAGGGGAAGGGACTGTGGGAGGTTTGCTAGTTGGGGGAAGGGACCCTAGGAGGTTGGCCACTAGCCCCAAGGAGGGAGCCAGCCCTTGTTCCTTTTGGAAAAGGGGCCACGTCCACTGCCACCCACCCCCAGTTTCCTGTCCCAGACTGTGGCCTGGCCCCAATCAGGAGATCAGGGTCTGCTGGTGGGAGGGACTGCAGGAGATTCGCTGGTTGAGGGAGGTGCTCCTGCATTTGGCACCTGCCCCCTGGTGGTCAGTGTGCATCATAGCAACCAGTCATTCTGATCATTCAGTCTTAATGGTCGCTTAAGCTTATATATATATATATATATATATATATATATATATATATATATATATATATATGCTAGAGGATCAGTGCAAGAATTCGTGCATGGGTGGGGTCCACTGTCCCGTCCCGATGGAGGTTGATGGGGGCCAGGCCGGTGGGGGGTGAGGGGACTCAGGAGGTTGACCAGACAGCCTCGCCCCCAGTCGGCCGGTTGTCTGCCACAGTGAGTGTCATAGTGACAGGTCATTCAGGTCATTTCAGTTGTTCCAGCATTCCCGTTGCTGGCTTTTTATATACATAGATATATAGATTACAGTTGACAGTCAATGTTATTTTATATTAGTTTCAGGTGCATAAAACAGTGAAGAGTGCCCACTTCTGAAACTCCCGTCACAAGCTTTCCCACTCAGGGCTTTACAGCCTGTGATAACTAGAAAGAATAACGTGCTATTGAAAGGCACAATGAGCAAGTTCAGCAAGATGACATTCCACAAAACAAACAGAAGAGAGCAAGAAAGCAGATAGACTCACCCAGACCAAAAATCAAAGGTGCTTTTATTTTATTTTCACAAAAATTTTTATTCTGAGGCCCAGGAAGGCAATGTGAAAAGCAACTAATTCTCTGGAGTGGCCTTGAACTTGTTGTGATGTAATGCAATATGATAGTGACAGAAATCCCAGGCCTCGCCATCCCCAATGTCTCCTGACCAGCAGCATCAAAGAGGCCTGTGGCTCAGTGCCGTCCCACCCCTCATGCTCCTTGTCCCAGTTCGCAATCCCTCCATGTGCACAGGGCCATGCACCTGACAAGTCCTGTATCCATGGCGCCATGCACCTTCCCGCCCACTGGGGGCTCCAGCTGTGTGAAATCAGCATCTTACAACACATACAAACCCGGCATCCAATGGTGTCAGGATAGTCATGTGTGTTTTGTGTACAAATGTTATTCCTCGAGTTTGAAATCTAAATTCATCACAGAAAAATGAGGAGAGACAGAAAATCTAAAAGTAAAAAAGATGAATCCAATCCTATCACTTGGGTCAATCTTTTCACAAATAGATCCTTCTCTTCTTCTTTCTAATATAAATATGTTCCATTCTTTTCTTTTTTTTCTCACCTATTTTTCTTTTTTATTTCCACCCAGTTTTCTTTTTTCTTTTTTATTGTTTAAAGTATTACACATGTCTCCTTTTCCCCCGATTAATCACACACAACCACTCCCATTGCCCAAGACAAGCCCCCATCACCTCAGTGTCCATATCTTTTGCTATGCTAATATGTCTCTTGATTGATCTCTTATCCCCACTCCTCCACTGCCTTCTCTCTGAAGTTGGACCATCTATTCAGTGTTTCTTTAGTTCTGGATCTATTTTTATTCATCAGTTTATGCTGTTCATTATATCCTACATATGAGTGAGATCATGTAATATAAATATGTTTCATTCTACTCTCTTGAAACCTGCTTTTCTCATTTAACCCAAATATCTTTACATATCAGCAGTAATTGTCCTTCATTATATTTAATGGATGCCCATTATATTTAAAGGGTCCCACTGTACAAACAGGAAGGACTGTACTTTGAATACCCCCTGGATAGAAACTAGATCTGCTATTATTATAAAGTTCATAGTTACTTGTCCCAGATATTTAGAAATTCATCTTAGAATTTGTAATATATATAAAATGTCCATGGTCAAGCACTCTATCAATCAGAGCCCAGTAATATGCTGAGACTCTGTTTGGAGGAAAATGGCATGACACGTTTCAAGGAGTGGTGGCACAAAACCCACAACAACAATTTAATGCTTTGTCTACTTTTACAAAGCTCTTTTACAATGTTAGTTCACTCTATCCTCATTATCAACTAAAAAGATTTAAAACAGTGTCTCATAGTTCAGTCATTTGAGTAGATAATTCACAAGTTTTGTTGTCTCTCCACACCATCTCTACTATTATTGACTTAATATTTTTATTTAAATCAACTCACTTTTAAAATTTAAATCTAAAAAAAATTGAATCTAACCTTTTCTGCAGCAATAATACAAACCGCAGACTTGACGTGCTGTTTTCTTTCCTAATGCATATTTAAATATATAAACATGTTTTGTTTTCAAAGTTTCCCTTTTTACCTCTGACTTCATGCCACACGCCACCAGTAGGCACTTGTTCCACACAGTGGAAACCTGGTGTAAAAGCGAGAAGATCCTGTAGCATGTCAGAAACAGCCCTTGCCTACGTTCACAATTCACCATAGCTAAGACTTGGAAGCAGCCTAAGTCCCCATCAGCAGATGAGTGAATTAGAAAACAGTGGTACATTTATGCAATGGAACACTATGCTGCTGTAAAAAGAAGAAACTCTTACCATTTGCAATAGCATGGATGGACCTGGAGAACATTATGCTAAGTGAAATGAGCCAGTAGGAGAAAGATAAATATAACATGATATCACTCATTTGTGGAATATAATGAACAACATAAACTGATGAACAAAAATAGATCCAGAGACATAGAAGCATTGAACAGACTGTTGAACCTCAAGGAAAGGCAGAGGTGAGTGGGTGGGTGGGTGGCAAGAGGTCAACCAAAGAACTTGTATGCAATATGCAAAACCCATGGTCACTGACAACAGTGTTATGAAGGCCGGGGGTCAGGGAGGGAGAGGCAGGCTAGAAGGGAATCAGTGAGGGGGAGGGAAGGGGACATATATAATACTTATAACAATAAAGATTTTCTTCAAATTTTAAAAAAGAAAGAAATAATGGAAGAAGATCATCCAATAAAAATTTAAAAAAAAACATTAGGTGGATGTTTGGCAGAACCTAAAGCCAGTGAAGAGGCTGAGGCATAAGAAATAAGAGCTTTCCTGCTGGGAAGAAGGCAAGAGGTATGGACAGCAGGGCTGCCATCGCGATGCTTGCCCACAGATGAATGTAGGCAAAGGACGGGACTGCTCGGGTTAGCTCTCTGTCTACATAGAAATCAAACCTATGCTGCTTTCATCTTTTTGAAAGTGGCTAATGTGGTTTCCCATCCTTCCTTTTGGATTTGGTGTTCTGGCCCCAAGGAGACTCCTGTGAATCCTGGCCACTGTGAAAACTGACTGAAATTGTGCATTAATGGCCCACAACCCTGAGGATGTTTATTAAGTTATCTCCGTCATGCTTTTGAAGTTGTGTTTCAGAACAAATGTATTAAAGAGCAAATACAGCTGGCAGCTAGTTTTATTCCTTGAACTGCTGGGATATATGAATGTGTTAGACATATACTTGTACATAT